ACGTAATTGCTTAAAATGCATGAGTATCATGCATAAAAACACCGTAATGTATTGCACACCGACATGCTCTTAAATGTCAAGGTAGAAATAGAAATATAACATGCAGAAAATTTCATCAAGAAAGTTTGGTTCTAACTTTTTAGTAAAAAAAATCACCAGCGTAATCTGTCCCATTATTTTTGCAAGCTTCAATACATATGATGGTTGTGTTGTCCCGGAGCTGAACATTTTACATCCGCTCGTAATGCACTGTTGGATCATTAGTTTATTGTGTTGGGTCTCACTAATTGGCAGTCGTTATTGTGTCGACTGTCAAGTCTCACTATATAGTTGTCAGTCGTATCGTGTCGGGTCTCAGTAGTTGGCAGTCATCATAAGTTTATCGTGGATAAGCCTCTCTAGTTGACAGTCGTTGAAAAAGCTAAATGACCTATTATTTTAGCTTGAAAGTCGTTGTAAAGTAAACAAGTTGGTCGATAACTTTAGCAAAAGTCGTCAAGATTCTGACGACTATTGCCACTGTATGGGACCTGGCTGGATGCCAGTCGCCAATTATGCTTCTCCATAAATCACGATTTACAATCGATATGGCCGATGCACCATATTGATCTACGCGCTACAATCGTAACTAAGTGTAGTAGAGCGTAGTTCCGATTTCTGTGAGAGCCACATTTGAGCACCCTAGCATATGCGCTTATAGCCACCTGAACCTTATATAGCCACCTATAGCGCTTATAGCAAGGTAAATGTAATCAAATTTTTTTATTGTTAATTGATTTTTTGGTTAGCTGGAGCCTCTGCTGAGGTTCTACTGTAAATGAGTTTATAGGGGTGCCCCTTATTAACCTGGGGTAGTAATAAGGGAAAAGACCCTGGTAATAAGGAAAAAGATCCCTTATTACCCTGTCATGTAGAAATGGCGGCCATTTTTTTTAAATGAGATAGACAAATTCTGTCAGTCATGTTTTTAAGCCAACACCCGTGTGCAACTTTAATGTAAGTAAAATTTTCAATCTGGCAAATTTTTTTTTTTTTGCTACAGACTTTAGCAGAGGTGCTTTTCCAAAATCTCACTTTTCACACTTTTTATCAGCAATTGTTTTAGAGATATTAAATGTATGATTTCTTAACTTGCTTTATGCATAATAGATACCGTCAAACGGGGTAAAAAGGGACAGTTTTGAGCGTTCTTTGTTAATAGCTTCTTACCGTGAAACATTTCATAAACAAGTTTGGGCTCATTTTAAAGGGCTCTGCAAGGGCTATCGTATGGCATTTCCAAAAAAAAATTCCATATGCTATTTGTAAGGTGCTAGATGCAATATAAAAGGCTCCTGAATTAATCTGGAAATGGGGTAAAAAGGGACACTTTCAATAAAACTCAATTTTAAACATTTGAAGCAAGCAGAGTGTACTCATCTATTACTATTAGTACTCTGAAGTCCTCCTCTCCCTTTGTAGATGATGTAAATGTAGAATATATGAAATTTTCTGTGATTTTACTTGTTTTTCCTTTATTGATATGATATTACCATATTCATTAATTACCGTATTATTAATGTGATATTACTGTATCCATGGACATGCCATTGAGCATTAGCAAGAACCTTGTCCACTGCAAGCTTCATATCAGCAGCCTTATAGCATTTCTTCTGTGTCTGTAAGTTTACTGAAACAGAAAATAGTGTTTTAGTGACAACCATCATATGTTTTGAAGAAATAGATCATAGTTTAGGTCAATTACTTTTCCTTCTATGATGCCCGGTGCAAAATTCTATATATTGCATTCTATGTACAATTTTGTGACAACCGATTATGCACTAATTTTTTGATAAATTATTTTTTTGCCAAGCGAGGTAAATGTAATCAAAATTCTTTGTTGTTAATCAATTTTTTTGTTAACTGGAGCCTTTGCTAACTGAGGTTCTACTGTAAATGCATTTTTAAGGGTGTCCCTAATTACCCTGGGGGGGTCCCTTTTTACCCCGTTGCATGGAAATGGCTGCCATTTTTTTTAATGAGATAGGCAAATTCTGTAAATTAAGTTTTCAAGCTGACACCTAGGTTCAACTTTTATGTAAGTACAATTTTTTAATACGGCAAATATTTTTTATGCTCCAGACCTTAGCAGAGGTACTTGTCCAAAATCGCACTTTTCACACTTTTTTTCAACGATTTTTTAGTGATAGTAAATGTTTGATTTCTTGACAAGCTTTATACTTTATAGATAGTAAAAATGTTGAAGTTTACGCCACAATTTTTAGTTTTGCAACATTTTGATTAGTTTAGCTGCTACAACATTTCTACAAAATGTGGGACATGCGTCCCTATTTACCTCGCCCGTCCCTTATTACCCCGTTTGATGTTAGTTTCTGTTGCTTTTCACCTGTCCCTCCTTGTCACTTCGTCTCTTTGAGATGCTAACGCTGCTTCCTTCGAGCCAGCTTCAGCGGGCTGGACAATTGAGACCTTCCACTCCTTGTGGTGATGATTTATTTTTCATTTGAGAAACTTCTGATAACTGAGACCTCCCACCTTTTTGGTGATATTTATCTTGATTTTTGGTGCAAGATAGCTAATTAGCTGAAGTGCTAGTAAACATGTGGCCACGAAACCAAACCAACCAACCACTTTGAATCACAATCTTGTCCTAAACATGTTTAATGCCATTAAGCATTATATTATGTTTGTATGCATGAAAGTCATGCACTTCATTTGACAACGTACTGCTGTAAGCTTGTTTGCAATAGGTATATTATGATGTATGCAATATATATCAATGTTTGTATGAATGATATTCAGTTACAATGGTATAACATTGTTTATACCATTATAATGTTTGTAAATACTGTGTTCCTAGGAGCTTTAAATAATACCCAGAGGTTCAGTTTGCAGCTATGCCGGTGGTTAAGGGTTGCTAAAACCACCTTGACACTAGTGAGGAATTTATCTTGAGGAAATACACTCCTGCACACAATGATTTTGCTGCTGATACACACAGGTGGCGCAGCATGAAGTGCAGTCAGGGCCAGGGCCTATACCTTCAAAAAAAGTTAAGAGATCGTAAGTTCATCAGCCAATCATTGATGGCCACGCAAGCTAAATCCACCAATCATAGACAAGAAAATAGAGCGTACGTACTTACGTTCACTTAGCAAATTTTGAAAGTATTGCCCCAGGATACTAAGAGAGCAATGAGCACAGTTGATGGATAATGCAGAGTGCTTCAACTGGTGTACTTTGTCAGCACTCATTTGCTAAAAAACAAAGCCTAAAGTAGGTCAAAATGAGATCTATTACCCAGTCGCAGACTAAGACATTGTTTGATTGAATGCCAAAAAAGTACCCTCTCACTGTATTATATGAAATGGACAGTTAGAAATTGCTTGTATCAAATAGCTTGCACTCTTTGTGCCTTGCAAATACAGGAAAAGATCACATTGCCCATACAAATGTTTCATGTATCATATAATATTAGGAGCACTTCTAGAACTGGTGGGAATTGTTTACAAGACAGACTTTGAAGCTTGGTCTACAGATGACCCACTCAGTTTATACAGTGAGTTAGAGAGTTACTCTGTAGGTCTGTGTTGCAATAGGTACATCAACCTCCATTCTTGAGGAGCAAGCCTATGTTGCTTGAAAACAGTAGATCATGATGAAAAAAAATAAATCTTTGAATGCAGTTAAGTTTCCAATGTTTTGTACTCAACTTCTATAATAAGAGCCCTATAAGTGAACTGGAGGCTAAAACCAGCTATAAGTGTGTGACAGAAGTGCAAGTGACAGACATGTATATGAGGGTGTAGTATCATACAGTAAACAAAACATTGACACCACCATAGAACATTCATACAACAAACTCAATGCAGGGTACTACTGAGACTGAGGTACCTGCTTCCAACTACAGTCTTTTGGCTGGGTTCAGCTGAAGTTTTGTTGTTCCTGACATTTTTATGCTATGCAGTTACTTTAAGATTACTGTTGTGTTCTCATTTGTCAAGTAATTCGGTATACCAGTGTTGGTGCAAGTTTTACATTCATTTTGGTTTAAGTTCTGTGCAGTTTTGTAGCAAATACTCTAACCAATTTGGAATGTAAACTCACTTTTTGGCTTTTGCTTTCTGCAACCACTTTAATGACAATCTCCATTTACTATGATTTTTCAATTGATTTTCAAAGAACACCATCAATCCTACAGTGCAGTGATTTTTCAACATGAACACTGGTGTACCATATAAGGACCAGAGGTGGGTAGTAGCATGCTACATGTACTAGCGGCCGCTACATTTTCAGTAGCAGTTAGGCGCTACATTAAAACAATTGTAGCAGTAGCGCCAGCTACATACTTAAGTAGCAATATGAGGTTTTGCCGCTACAGCGCTACCGCTACATTTATGGATGAAGCCTTTAGATTTTACTTAATAGTATTGATTATAATTTAAAAGCCAGCATGATACATACATAATATAAATTACAGTATAAAACTGTACGAAAGATTTCGGTGTAATGTTGTCAACCTCAGCCTGTTACTAGTGTCAACATGTTAGTTGTTGCCAAAGGTAGGCGGTAGCGTGCTACATGTAGTGGCCGCTACATTTTCAGTAGTGGTAGCGTCGCTATATTTAAGCAGTTGTAGTGGTAGCAGCTGCTACATTTCAAAGTAGCACTGCCCAGCTCTGATAAGGACTAATGTACCAGTACTTCTATATATATATCTGTTTTTAATATTATTCCATCTATAGGTACATTTTTCTGTTACCCAAGTTTGCAATGTTCTTGATTCCTAATTTATTAATCATTGCATCATAAATTTTGTTACAGGAAGGTAAATGTGAATTTTTTTTATTTTTAGATCAAAGTAAAGCACAAATAAAATAGCTCATTGCAAACATTCCAATTCTGATCCTGAAGATTGATCTCAATTTGATTGCTCTTTCCTAAATTTGTTCTTCAACCATAAAATCATGGTAAGTTTATAATGTTAGATTTGTCGCGAGTATCTCTACCGCAAGAGTCAGGAGCACAGGCTGGCTCAGATGCATGCTCGCAAGGAGAGAGTGGCACACTATCTTGACAGTGAGTTATGAAGTGTAAACTCTTCAGGTAGCTTATGAGAAAATGTGGTTTATTCGTGTGAAGCCATTATGTGGATAGCATGCATGTATATCTATATGTATTTATTGGTATAATTTGGCAGAAGTTGTTCTTCAATGCACATTATGAAGTGTAAACCCTTCAGTGGTAGCTTATGAGAATATTTAGTTTGTTCGTGTGAAGCCATTATGTGGATAGCATGCATGTATATCTATATGTATTTATTGGTATAATTTGGCAGAAGTTGTTCTTCAATACACATTATGAAGTGTAAACCCTTCAGTGGTAGCTTATGAGAAAACTTGTTTTTTTTGTGTGAAGCCATTATGTGGGTAGCATGCATGTATAAATGTGTTAACTGGTTTAGTTTGGGAGAAGTTGTTTTTTTTAATACGCATTTGATCAAAGACTGGAGAATAGATTTTATTAGCAACTTTCCTTTTTCATTGAGTGAAATATCATTTCTACTGACTTCAGTACATCAGAAAGCAGATTTCAAAAAAGATTTATCGTAATGTATTAATGACATTGAAAATGTAACTGCATTCATTATCAGTCATGAAAGATTTGAATTATGAGAATTTGATCTCTCAATTCCAATAATGTGTGATTGATCCACAATTCAAATTATACATAATAGCTCAATAAGATACTACTTAAGAATTTAAATTCAAAATTACCCTGAAAATAATCTCAAAGTGATGACAAATTGTGTGCGACTTGTTAGTTGACCTATTATAGCCCAGTTTTTTATTTTTACAGATATTAATTCAAAATATCACAACATTCATCAACTTGTTGTCATGTGGAGCAGAATTTTTTTCCTCATACTTATAGTTATTATTTATTTCCCCTCATACTTATAGTTTTTATTTTGCAGCTGAGAAGATGCTGCCAGGAGACGTGCGCAATCTGGCAGCAAAGGTGATGCAGTCAGCACAGTGGGATGATGAAGGCCCCGCGCTAGCCGGCCTCATGGGTGTGGATCACGGCGGGGCGCCCTCAGACATTGATGACGAGTACAGACACGCTGGCGTCGACGATCCTAAAATATTCATCACAACCTCACACAATCCTTCATCTAGACTCAAAATGTTTGCTAAAGTATGTAAATATAGTAGTATAGAACTATATAATGGATATAGTATCTTCGGCATTTGAGAATACCTAGGCCTGGATAGGCCTGTCGCCGATTCTTGTACTTTTCTTGACTAGACTGGCCTATATAGGTGCAAACTACTTATTAAAAATGTAATTTCGCTCTACCATTTAACATGCCAATACAGAACTTTTGTCAGAAGTATTGTATATATTTAATTATAACATTTTCCAATATTTTTTGAGTCTGAAATGCTCTGTTCAACGTAAGTTTGTTCCATTTGTGTGCACAACTCATATTTTCCAGCGTTCTCCATTGTATGTGTTTATATGTCCACCTACTGCATTGCCAGGCAGAAAATGGTTGCATGTAGATTACCTGCTAATATTTTATACAAACATTCAAATAAGTTTCATTTTTCAGGAAATGAAGCTCATCATCCCCAACAGTGAAAGAATGAATCGCGGTAGTTTTGATGTTAAATCTTTATTATCAAGTGCGAAGAGCAACGGCTTCACTGATGTTGTTATCCTGCACGAGACCAGGTAAGTTATTTTCGCTCCAGTTCACATTTACATCCTAAATTTTTCACAAATACTTGCTTGAAAAACATCCCAAATCAATAGAGGATTTTATGTAAAAAATTTTGTAGCTAGAACACTGATATAATTGTTTATACAGCTTCAAGGGTCTCTTGGGCATTATGTGAAACAAATAAATTTTCAATAAAAAAGTTGGAGGATATTCTGTATTTGGTCCCAAATGTTGTTGGCGCAGTGGCAGTTCAGCAACACAGAATGAAAGTGATGGTTGCATCACGGTAATGTTCACAGCCACCATGTAAAATTAGTCTTATTATGTTATCAGTATCATTGAATATCACTGATAGATTGTGTATTATATATACAAGTCCGACCTATATAAGTCAAGAGACTTATTATCAAAGAAAAAATTGTGTTTTGTGTGGTGCAGAGGCCGGCCTGACCACATGGTGGTAAGCCACTTGCCCAACGGCCCGACTGCGTACTACACTCTGATGGACGTGAAGCTCCGCCACGACATCCCCGACTGCGGCACCATGTCCGAGGCCTACCCCCACCTCATCTTCCACAACTTCAACACGCGCCTTGCCAAGAGGGTTAGAAACCGTCCGCCCATTGTCCATGTCTTGTTTGTAAACCTGAAATATTATAAGAATATTATTAAATTTAAGTAAATTCTATACAATCATAAAATAATTGAAACTAAATTTTTGTACTTTTTCAGATTCAAAGTACCTTGAAGTATTTATTCCCGGTACCGAAGCTGGAGTCAGTTCGCAGTCTATCGTTCATCAACCATTCAGACTTCATCATCTTCAGACATCACGTGGCCAATAAGGGCGAGAAAGGCATGTTCGACAGCCTCACCGAAGTGGGCCCGCAGTTTACTATGCTATGTGAGTGACGCTTATTCTTTAATGTCTTCTTGCTATTGAGATGTGTTACCTTGACGAGTATTCTTTTCTGCTCTGGAAATAGAGACTTTGAAATAATGAATTAATATGTTTGTAAATAATAAAATTGTATTATTTCGATAGTAATTCAGTAACGTAAACCATCATATTGAAATCTAAATTTCTTTCTAACTTTTGCATGCTTGACGAACGCTGTTTGTGCAGGTCATAAAATTCAGTAACATACACCATCATATTAAAACCTAAATCACTGTTTAACTTTTGCATGCTTGACGAACGCTGTTTGTGCAGGTCATAAAATTCAGCAACATACATCATCATATTGAAACCTAAATTACTGTTTAACATTTGCATGCTTGACGAACGCTGTTTGTGCAGGTCATAAAATCATCCGAGGCACAGTTGACGAGGAGAAAGCGGCAGACGTGGAGTTCGTGTTGCGGCCGTACCTCAACACGGCCCACAAGAGGCTGCTGCTCTCCAAGGACATGCCTTGGAAGACTGACGATGACGTCGCCAGAGTGGACAGAGAAACAGACATGGCCAAGTGATCGTGTCTGTAATAAATCGCTTACGAGATCTCGAGTTTTATTTCTTGAACCGCTTGAGTGTTTCCGTATTATAGCTGCAGTATAGCATCACACGACTGACTAAGAGGCTGTCTCGACTGTAGCCGCATCATTCCATTGGTCAAGAGGCGTTGACTACAAACTATATATACTTGCTGACGTTTTTCCTCATAACAAATCAAAATTTATTCATAATTTAATGAATGATAAAACTCTCTTCAACCAATTCTACTTGAGAGGTAGTGTCAAAAATAAAGCTCTTGCCTCCAGGGAGGTGCGGGATTTGGTCCCGCGTCTAGGGAAATTTTGCGCTCCCTGAGGTTCCCCAGCATATAGTTTGATGACTTGTATAGTTGTATCGTTGCTGGCGGGACGATTTTTGCGCCGACGCTTGCGCGACCGCTGACCAGCACAGGTCGCGGTCTAGAAAGGGTCTCCAGAAAAGTGGGAGATGATCGAAAGACGGGAGGGTGGCCACGATGGCCACTGCTTTCACGGGTTGTCCCCCAGAGGGTAGACTCTGATGGTCGTGGAGAAGATGCAGACAGAAAGTCTGAACCGAAGGGTAGTCTTCACGGGCCTGTCTCCGGGACACGCAGAAACTATGGAACCAGAGGGGTGCTGGCCAGGAATTGCGCATATGTGAGTTAGGTGGCCGTGTTCTAAATCGTCTGTAGGCCTGCCACGCGATCCGGTGCGCAAGTGGAAGGAGAGCTGTGGCAGTTGAGTGACAGTTTGAAGCCATAATGTGACGGGAGGTGGCGAATGGGCTACGAGATACGGGAGTATGAGTCACACTAGGATTTCAACTGCTGGGGAAAGAGAAATGATTCGGTATGGTGTGCCTTGGTCACTTGGTCATCCGGGCTTCGTAAAGGAAAAGATTTATGAAAATCCGTCAAATTAAAAAGGTGAGAGGTAGTTAAAACTTCGAAGCCCAGTTGCCCCAAATGGATCACTTTAAGCCTATATGGTTCTTGGGCTAGGGCGAAGAAGAAGAAATGAGCGAGTGGATCGAGGAGCTGAGGTAGTGTTGGGTAGCAGTAGACAAAAGAATTCAGTGAGATGTTAGAAGACTAGGACGTGTCAAGGAGGTGTGCTCTGTCGACGGTCATGCCCGGTGAAGAGGCGGGACCTTAGGACACAGGGCTGGTCAGAGAGTGAGGATGTCGAAGTTGGAGACATTGATAAACTCTTTGATGACACGAAAACTGTTACAGCATCTCTCTGGTCGTCTGTGAAGAAAGATCATTGTGCGTGATAAGCTTGGAAGTCGCCCGCGATAAATCAACTGCCCGTGATGGCGAAAAATTTGGTTATTGGTTCAGGTAATATGACGGGTGCTTGAGGTGGCAGGATGAAGAGCCATTGAAAGGAACGTTTATCACCTTTGCCTCCATTGAGACGTCATCGTTGAGGTGATCTGCAGAGTGTATAGGACATCGTAACTAACTAGCATGGCCAAGCAGCCGCCGCCACCCGTAGACGATCCCGGCGCACGTCAGCGCATCCAGGGAAGGCTGAAGAACGGTAGTTGGCTGCCAGTTCTGTCTCTTGGAAGCAAGAAACAGCGACTTCATGTTTGATGACGAAGGAGGAGAGTTTCACTGCACTGAACTGCATCCCATTGCTGTTAAATTGAAGTATGATGAGAGGAGCGCGTGTTGGCGCAAATGCGAGTCGAAGTTGCGAGGAGTGGCCGGGCAGGAGTGGTGGTAGCCTGACTGCAGGCGGGGCAGATACAGTCGGCGCTGGCCTGACGGCGCTTGTGGGTCCAGGTGTTGCACTGGAGTATAGAAAGGAAACGCTCCGCCTTGTCACCGGCAGAGCCTCTGCTGCTTGGCCTGACCCGCAACGGTGGCCTGAATCCCAGGCAGCGGCTCAGGTCGGAGTTCTCCGACGACGTAGCAGTAGAGATTGGTAGGTTTTGGCTTGGTCCGCTTGCCTTAGACGATGGGTAGGCTGTCACAATATGAAGTGCTAGTGCTGCACCGGCGATGGGTGTCAGCGGTCAGGCAGGGAGATAACTATTTTAAATGACTCCCCGATACAAGACTGCTCACTACTTGTGAAACGGACCTCTAATCATAGCAGTTTTCTTTGTAATGATTATATTGTATTAAAGCAGCGTATCATGATATAAGTTGACTAAGGCTGGCCCCCCTCAGAACGGTTACTGAACCGGACATCAGCATAATGGCTAACAACGATTGCATAATCATTGCAGAGGAGCAGGGATATTCAGGTGAGGTTTCACGCTGGTACTAATCTTTATTTACTGATAAAATCTGTATCGAAATTAGAATTTGAATATACCTTCAATTGGTTATAGGCAAATTTCTGGTTCGCCATGCAACTTTGTGTTATGTTTCACCTAGCGGGCGACACATCCCTGATAGGACACATGCGCACATACTATTGCGTTCAAGCATCACCAATCTAACACAAATTTTATTGCAGATCCCAAAACGGCCGTCAAGTCAATCGATGCTGCTTTGAAGAAAATCGACAAAGAGATTCAGGTACGTCGCTTGGAGTGAAATTAAAACTCAGGTGCACCCACAAAGACTAATCAGAGGCTATTTTAAGTTATTTCCCTCAAGTTTGCTGGTGTGTTCTTCATATCATAATGATAATTTCGTAACATAACATCTGCTAGTGCAGCACTATTCTCTATGTCTAGCAATCGTTACGAAAAACTCTTGACGTTTACATTGAGTTTGCTTACAAGGGTTTGTAAACATGTGGGGGTTGATGTGGATCAAAATGAAAATTTTAATATAATAAAATTTAATATCGAATATTTTAAGTGAATAGTCTAACATAAGTAATGACTAGATGCAATTATGAGGGTATCAATAATGCAAAGGTTAAGCCTTATTGGTCCGACCTTTCTAAAAACCCGCTGAATAAGTATAAATGGCTTGTGAGTGAAGAACATGTGCTTAGCACTGTCTAGTGCACATTTGCAGGTCTATTTCCAATTATTAGATGCATCAAACAAACTGCGATTTCTCGTGGGTTACGAGGCTCACTTGCTGATGTGGAAGAACGTGAGAATAACCCAGTGACAATTCTAGCACGGAAGTGAACTTTGGGAAGGAAAGAACAAGTCTATTTAAGAAATTCGGGCGTACATACATATACCGACGCACTCGCATTTCATTTCAAAATTCTGTATTGTATGTTTTGCTCCCGTTATCGAAAATTTTGCTGTGATGGTAACGTGTGCCAAAAAAATTTACCAACAAAAACATGTAGTCCAGATTTACATTATCTCAAATAATTTTTCCTCGCGCACAAAATTTTCTCGCGAATCCCCCGCTTACAGGTGAATGTGAGCCTGGCAATGTTGCGTCTAAAAATTCGCTTCGCGTCGACCAAAGTCGCAATGTTGCAGGAAGTTAGTTTGGATACTGAGAGCTTTCGTTGATGAGCAGGTGCTGCAGGACCGCAGGACTGTGCTGCAGCGACGTAAGGCGAAGCTGCAGGACGCTCTGCAGCAGCAGCAGTCTGCTGAACTCGCCCAGCAAGATTGGCAGCAAGAAAGTGAGTGAATTGAAGTTTACACTTGAGTGCCTAGATCATTTCGCGCTTGTCAGGATTAGCCTACAGATGTTGGGATTAGCATACGAATATTAGGATTAATTGAAAAGTATCAGGATTTACTTAGGAGAACCTAAATTAATCCACGAGTGCCGGTATTTACGTACCTATTAGCCGTTTAAGTGTCAATACCGGTACTACACTGTTAGAAAAATGACCTTTATATAACGGTATTACCGGCGTTTCAGTGGTCGGTCGGCAGGTGAAGAGAAACACCGTGCCGCCGTTTTTATTTTAATTTAACACTAAAAATCCGTAAAACATTTGATAAAAACAGCGAAACAGTTTATTTTCACGGGTTGACCGGCCACTAGAACGCCGGTGGGACCGTTTTTTCTAACAGTGTAAGGTACGTTTGTCAGGTTCAACATAGGGTAATCGAGGTTAGTGATCCCGGCACGTGTTGCTAGTCTGTAGTAGTTGTGTCCACGTGTCCTCAGAGTATCCCTGGAGCCCGGCATGTTGCTGGTCTGTAGTAGTCGTGTCCACGTGTCCTCAGAGTATACCTGTAGCCCGGCATGTTGCTGGTCTGTAGTAGTCGTGTTCACGTGTCCTCAGAGTATACCTGGAGCCCGGCACGTGTTGCTGGTCTGTAGTAGTTGTGTCCACGTGTCCTCAGAGTATCCCTGGAGCCCGGCACGTGTTGCTGGTCTGTAGTATTCACGTGTCCTCAGAGTATACCTGGAGCCCGGCACGTGTTGCTGGTCTGTAGTAGTTGTGTCCACGTGTCCTCAGAGTATCCCTGGAGCTCAGAGTTGCGTCGCCAGCTGAGCACCAGCTTCGGGATCTCAGAGCTGCGACCGCACCAGCTGCCGACGATGAACGCGACGCTGTCGGGCACCAACTGCATCCTCATCATGCCAACTGGCGGCGGCAAGAGCCTCTGCTACCAGCTGCCGGCGCTGCTGTCCAAAGGTGGCTCTTGTTCTTACCCTAACAAAATTTAGAGTCGCCCCAGCTTCTGATTTTGGGTGCCAGAAGCTGGGGCGACTCTAAATTTTGTTACCCAGTGAAAATTTACAGACGCGGCAGCTTCTGATTTGGATTACCAGAAGCTGGGGCGACTCTAAATGTTGTTACTCAGTGAAAATTTACAGACGCGTCAGCTTCTGATTTGGGGTACCAGAAGCTGGGCGACTCTAAATTTTGTTAGGGTATGTACCAACGTAAAAATTCTGCTAGGTAATTCCTGTGAGTTGCTTAGCTTGAATTTCCATGATAATCTATTTTAATTCGTCCTGTGAGTTGCTTAGCTTGAATTTCCATGATAATCTATTTTAATTCACAATTTTGTTTTTTATTGACTTATTTTTGATGAGTTTAGATTAATTATCAATTGGCCTCACCAGGCGTGACGTTGGTGGTGAGCCCTCTCGTGTCCCTCATTGAGGACCAGCTGCTGGGCCTGCAGAGGCGCGGCATCAAGGCGGCCTCCCTCACCGCCACGTCCTCAAAGGAAGACGTGGCCTGCGTCATGACGGTGAGGCGTGAGGACATGTCCTGCCTGCGTCATGACGGTGAGGCGTGAGGACATGTCCTGCCTGCGTCATGACGGTGAGACGTGAGGACATGTCCTGCCTGCGTCATGACGGTGAGGCGTGAGGACATGTCCTGCCTGCGTCATGACGGTGAGACGTGAGGACATGTCCTGTCAATAACCTGGTTTGCCAGGTGAAATCCCATGTAGTTCTACCAACATTTCCAGTGTTTTTCTTGGCCGATCTCATCCCTATGAAAATAATAAAGTTGTACAGGCTGCCCGTGGTAAATCCAGGTGCTGTACTAGCTCTTTACTATGCACCTTGAAGCGCAGGTAATTTTCAAAGCACTGCTCAAGCAAGCTTAGACTCTTTGAACTTACGAACCAGGGGCCATACTTTCAAAACTCGCTAAATGAACGTAAGTACTTACGCTCTATTTTCTTGTCTATAATTGGTGGATTTGGCTTGAAAGCCCGTCAATGATTGGCTTATGAACTTACGATCTCTTAACTTTTTCTGAAAGCATAGGTCCAGATAACAACATCAGTCTTGCTACAAAATTACGTAAGAAATGTAATGACATGTAAAGAACTGTTTATCTCGCCTAGGGCCTAACGGACGCAGCGTGGCCGTGCAAGCTGCTCTGAACTTACGAACCAGATTACAACATCAGTTTTGCATTATAATTAAGCAACAAATGTAAGATGACATCATGTAGTTAACAGTTTATCTCGCCCAGGGCCTGACGGACGCCGCGTGGCCGTGCAAGCTGCTCTGAACTTACGAACCAGATTACAACATCAGTCTTGCTACAGAATTACGTAAGAAATGTAAGATGACATCATGTAATTAACAGTTTATCTCGCCCAGGGCCTGACGGACGCCGCGTGGCCGTGCAAGCTGCTCTACGTGACGCCAGAGAAGCTGGCTAAGAGCAAGCGGCTCATGGCGAGGCTGCAGAAGGCGCATCAGGCGAGCAGGCTTGCCAGGGTCGCCATCGATGAGGTGCACTGCTGCTCTCAGTGGGGGCACGACTTCCGGCCTGGTCAGACATTACTTCTTTATTAATATTATTCTTTTTATGTCAATGTTGGATATATATATTCATGTCAAAGTCCGATTTACTCATGTAAATTGTTGATATTTTGAGCTGGAATAGCTTATTATTTTCATGTGAATGTTAGATATATATATACATATATTCATGTTCAAGTCTTTGATATGATTTACTCAAGTAAATTGTTGATATTTTGAGCTGGAAAACCGTAGTATTTTCATGTGAATATTGGATATATATATTCATGTTGAAGTCTTTGATATGATATACTCAAGTAAATGGTTAATACTTTGAGTTAGAATACCTCATTATTTTCATGTGAACATGGAACATCATGATCAATAATGCAAATAAATTGCGCAGACTACAAATTCTTGGGAGTGCTCCGGCAGACGTTCCCTGGCGTGCCGCTGCTGGGGCTCACGGCCACCGCCACCGCGCGCGTCGTGGCGGACGTCCTCAAGATCCTGAACATCCCAGACTGTCTGGTGCTGAAGGCGTCCTTTAACAGACCCAACCTTTATTATGAGGTGCCTTTGTTGTGAGGTGTCTTTGTTGTGAGGTGCCTTTGTTGTGAGGTGCCTTTGTTGTGAGGTGTCTGGTGCTGAAGGCGTCCTTCAACAGACCCAACCTTTATTATGAGGTGCCTTTGTTGTGAGGTGCCTTTGTTGTGAGGTGTCTGGTGCTGAAGGCGTCCTTCAACAGACCCAACCTATATTATGAGGTGCCTTTGTTGTGAGTTGACTGGTGGGTCTTTGTTGCGAGGTGACTGGTGTGTGTTTGTTGTGAGGTGGCTTTGTTGTCTTCTTGTGAATTGCCTTTATTATATGGTGTTTTCATTGTCATTGTCGCGTGGTGACTGATGGCAGCTGCCTAATTGTTCATGCAAGACCCGTGATCTCGCTCCTATTTTAAGGACAGGAACTTGCTGGTCGACCATAAGGAATAGAAGTTTGTATGTCCCTTGTAAATGGTTTATTAAAGTAGTTTAATAAATAAGTCAGTGATGGAGTCTATCGTCATTTTTGACGGCCAAAATGTTTTTAATTTTGTGCAGAGTTTATGACGTTGACCGAGCTTCCTTATTAAGTGCGTGACTTTATTGCCATCAGAATTTAGTTTCTACTTGCATGATTGGTATAGTAATTCAGTCATAACGACACTACTTCTGTGAACAAGTCACGAAACGTAAAAGAATCGGCGACAGACCACATCAGGCCTACTCTTCAGCGCCGACATCACTATGTTATGTTAGGTTATATTATGTTATAATTACTGTTATGTTATGATTAATACTGTTATACGACTGTTATGTTATATTATAATTAACCTGTCCATTATTCTGGTATTATTGAGGTCCGCGAGAAGAGCGCCGTGGTGAAGGATAGCGTCCAGGAGATCGCGGAGCTGCTACAGACGCGCTACAGGAGCCAGTCCGGCATCATCTACACGACGACCATCAAAGAGACGCTAGACCTCGTCGCCGACCTCAGGGCGCTCGGTCTTAAGGTCTGCTTCTCGTGCAGCAAGGCCATGAGGTCCATACATGTGCCAGGACTAGAACTTGATTGTCATTTATCAACACTGAATTTATTCCTTCATTTTGATGTGAAGTTATACGTATTTATTCCCTTAAAAAGTTTTTTTTCCATCAAATGAATCCTTATTTTTGGTTTTTGCTCGTGTAGTTTAATAAGTTTTCACTTTTCAACAAATTTTACTAAGAAATGAAGTGTGTATGCATGCATTGAGTTGCCATAAGGCTCGCATGCGCCGCAGGTGGCGCCATACCACGGCCAGATGGAGGCAGACGTGCGTAGCAAAGTTCACCGCAAGTGGACCAGCAACGAATATCAGGTACAGCTTCTACCAACTACAGACTTTCCCTCAAGCATTAATGTTTTAATTATTTAATCGTTCATCAATATAACTTCAATGTAATGCCATTAAGTCGAGTCTCCTCTTACAGGCGGTCGTGGCGACCATAGCTTTCGGCATGGGCATCGACAAGCCTGACGTTCGCTTCGTCATTCACAACAGCGTTTCCAAGTCCATGGAGAACTTCTACCAGGTTAGAGAACAATGCGGGAAACCATGTCCGGTATTTAATTGGTTAAAGGGGAGGGAGTGTCTGGGTTAGAGAAAGTCGTTTATTAATGTACCAATCTTTCTGAAAATTCAAACGCGTAGTAAACTAATACAAGCTCATTTTGTTTCAGAAAATGTTGTGGAAAAGTCAAGGAATGTACATAAAACGATAAATCAATATTGGATCCATATTATATCTAACTTTCGGCTTTATATAGCTACCCTACTTTAGAGCTCCCTTTTTTCATTTAATTTGTAACTTTTTGGGGGTGAGGGGAGGCGGAAGACTTATTTATTTCATCCAACACTCACCCCCCAATTTTTAAACTCAACAAATTACAATTATTATTTTATCGTCTATGATATTACTAGCATATCAAGAAAGATGAGTTTCTAGAGTCAGTAGATATTAGTAGTAAAAAACTGATGATATGTCTCGCGACGTCGTAGGCTTTTGATCTTAAACTGAAGAAGTTATAAACGTTCTCTGCTGACACGACCGAGACTGTGCAGGAAAGCGGGCGGGCGGGCCGAGACGGAGCGCCGGCGGACTGCCTGCTCTTCTGGAGGTTCGGTGACATGTTCAAGCAGAGCACGATGGTCTTCACCGAGCAGACGGGACTTGAGAAGTTCTATGACGTGCTGGCTTACTGCATCGATGCTGCCAGGTGGACAACGGCGCTCTGGGGCCCTTTTGAAATTATCTTATTGTTTTAATGCTCTTATGAAACAAAATTTTGTCAAAAAATTAGAAGCGAGCCCAAGTTGCATTTTGTTCATTCCAAGACATCCTAAAATGCGCGTGTTTTGTGTTGATTCTGTGCTGCTACACTCTGACGAAAGTTGGCCTAAATGTTATATATCTTGCCTGCCATCGTCCTGACGAGTGTACTGCTATATCTTGCCTGCCATCGTCCTGACGAGTGTACTGCTATATCTTGCCTGCCATCGTCCTGACGAATGTACTGCTATATCTTGCCTGCCTAGTATATCTAGGCAGATATATAGTATCTCATTAGATATATAGTATATATCTAATGTACTGCTATTATATCTTGCCCTGACGAACAATGTGCCGCAGGTGTCGTCGCATGTTGCTGTCGGAACACTTCGGTGAGCGATGGAACGCTGCGCAGTGCGATGGTCAGTGCGATCACTGCCGCCGTCCTAGGGAGACCAAGCAGGTGGATCTCACCGAGCACCTGCAGCAGCTCAGCGCCATCATCACGCATGCTGCTGCCAGCGACCAAAGACTCACAGGTCAGACATCTAGCAATAAGTTGTAATTTGTTGAGAACCTTTAACTCTGCTCCTTCGTGATGAGGTCATTGCAAAACTAACAATTTTACTGAAAATTGTGAGTTTTTTTCTCACAATTTTGCTGTAGAACGCTCAAGTTTTTAACCACTGTCGTCACATATACGAACACTTTATTTAAGCTCGAAATTTGTATGGCTTGTACAGCAAACTATATGTGACGTTTGTAAGATATTATTCGTTCGCAGACTAAGGTGATTTTTATTTATTTGCTATGTCGAATAATTTCCCAGAACTTAGCTTCAAGTGGAGCTCGTCATTTGCTAACAGCATCTGCACCTACAAAACCGTGCCGCACTGCACTCTTTTTATTACGAGCATCATCATGAAATACCTTACTATAAAGAAGTCAGCTATTCGAGTTGTTCATAATGTTATAAATCTCTTAGGTCAAAAACTGCTCGACGCTTGGCTGGGCAAGGGCGCCACCAACCTGAGGGTGAAGTCTGCCACCAATAGCAAGCTGACGCGCACGTTTGCAGAGACCGTCGTCGTGCATCTCTTGCTGGACATGTGCCTTAAGGAAGACTTCCACTTCACCCCTTACTCCACCCTCAGCTACATCGTGCTAGGTAGTACCTTCTTTTGTGCCTACTTGTGTAAAACGCTGCATTGCGGTGTGTTTCTTGACTGCCTCTATTGTGATATAATTCCATTAATTCATTAATTAGCTAGTTTGTGAATATTGAACTGACATTTCATTATTTTATAAATTAGCTAGTTTGTGAATATTTAGCTAAGTGTATCATTGTATTTCGTGTACTTCACACATCTGTCGTGGCTGTAAGGAATGCGTACAAAGCCATTAGTAACGTAACTGTAGATCACATTCTTGCGAACCACAGTGTTACCTTTACCGCCTTCCAGGTCCGAAGGCCGAGGCCGGTCTGCCTCCTAGTCCATTAATCGTTGCTGGGGCCAGGAAATCATTGTCCGTTGCTCCGTCACATACCCCTGACCAGCCTCCAGATCGCAAACCTGCTGGAAAGTCTGATCGTTTAAACTCAAAGTCATCCAGCCTTCAACAGTCCCGGGTTCATGAATCTCCTGTCAAAAAATCAACTCTAAGTCCTAGCGCTAAGCCAACGTCAACTAATCTTAAAAAGCTGACCAGTAAAGCAAATTCGAAATCTATGTCTTCGGAAATGGAAGCTAAGCCAAGTTACAAGATTGAGTCTGACTCTGATGACGAGGTTATTTGTGATTCACAAGTGTTCGCTGATCACGCTACGAGATCTGACTCGAGGATTGTACCAACGTCTGCAAGCGATAAGAGTCCCGGAAAACCTTCGTCGTTGAAGCGTTCTCGTTCCTCCCTCGATTCATCTCGAGACAGAAAAAATAAAGATTCCGATACTGCTAAAAAAATTCGCTTAGCTGAAGATTTTCAGGAAAGTTCAAATAAGGTTCTTAAATTAGACTCAAATCCCGCGAACACGTCTAAACTTGATAGGAAAAGCGCGTCTGAGTTCAATAACCACACCAAGTTGCCAGATATCAAGCACATTGATAGGTCTTCCTTGTCTCCGCCTCTGAAATAAATTGAAATATCCATGTTTTGTCTCGCCATTGAAGTGTGCGACTAACTTTACTGCAGACATGCACAATCATATCAATTGTAACTTTTAAACGACCGTTGGAAGCTACAACAAATGTGCTTATCAGTTGTGTTGTACGCAACAGCTAACAAAATGTGTTCATCAGTTGTGTTGTACACAACAGCTAACAAAATGTGCTTATCAGTTGTGTTGTACACAACAGCTAACAAAATGTCTCTTATACACATCTAGATGTGTATAAGAGACAGGCCACGTCCTCAAACGTGAGGACATGTCCTGCCTGCGTCATGACGGTGAGGCGTGAGGACATGTCCTGCCTGCGTCATGACGGTGAGACGTGAGGACATGTCCTGTCAATAACCTGGTTTGCCAGGTGAAATCCCATGTAGTTCTACCAACATTTCCAGTGTTTTTCTTGGCCGATCTCATCCCTATGAAAATAATAAAGTTGTACAGGCTGCCCGTGGTAAATCCAGGTGCTGTACTAGCTCTTTACTATGCACCTTGAAGCGCAGGTAATTTTCAAAGCACTGCTCAAGCAAGCTTAGACTCTTTGAACTTACGAACCAGGGGCCATACTTTCAAAACTCGCTAAATGAACGTAAGTACTTACGCTCTATTTTCTTGTCTATAATTGGTGGATTTGGCTTGAAAGCCCGTCAATGATTGGCTTATGAACTTACGATCTCTTAACTTTTTCTGAAAGCATAGGTCCAGATAACAACATCAGTCTTGCTACAAAATTACGTAAGAAATGTAATGACATGTAAAGAACTGTTTATCTCGCCTAGGGCCTAACGGACGCAGCGTGGCCGTGCAAGCTGCTCTGAACTTACGAACCAGATTACAACATCAGTTTTGCATTATAATTAAGCAACAAATGTAAGATGACATCATGTAGTTAACAGTTTATCTCGCCCAGGGCCTGACGGACGCCGCGTGGCCGTGCAAGCTGCTCTGAACTTACGAACCAGATTACAACATCAGTCTTGCTACAGAATTACGTAAGAAATGTAAGATGACATCATGTAATTAACAGTTTATCTCGCCCAGGGCCTGACGGACGCCGCGTGGCCGTGCAAGCTGCTCTACGTGACGCCAGAGAAGCTGGCCAAGAGCAAGCGGCTCATGGCGAGGCTGCAGAAGGCGCATCAGGCGAGCAGGCTTGCCAGGGTCGCCATCGATGAGGTGCACTGCTGCTCTCAGTGGGGGCACGACTTCCGGCCTGGTCAGACATTACTTCTTCATTAATCTTATTCTTTTTATGTCAATGTTGGATATATATATTCATGTCAAAGTCCGATTTACTCATGTAAATTGTTGATATTTTGAGCTGGAATAGCTTATTATTTTCATGTGAATGTTAGATATATATATACATATATTCATGTTCAAGTCTTTGATATGATTTACTCAAGTAAATTGTTGATATTTTGAGCTGGAAAACCGTAGTATTTTCATGTGAATATTGGATATATATATTCATGTTGAAGTCTTTGATATGATATACTCAAGTAAATGGTTAATACTTTGAGTTAGAATACCTCATTATTTTCATGTGAACATGGAACATCATGATCAATAATGCAAATAAATTGCGCAGACTACAAATTCTTGGGAGTGCTCCGGCAGACGTTCCCTGGCGTGCCGCTGCTGGGGCTCACGGCCACCGCCACCGCGCGCGTCGTGGCTATCAGTTGTGTTGTACACAACAGCTAACAAAATGTGCTTATCAGTTGTGTTGTACACAACAGCTAACAAAATTTGCTTATCAGTTGTATTGTACACAACAACAAAAAAATGTGCTCATCAGTTGAGTACTTAATTGAACAATATTTTTTATTAGCACCGCCGTTTCCTTCATGTAACTCATCGTCACTGTTCCACTGCATGCTCAGGAACAGCTTTTCTTAATTAGGCCGACTGAAAACGCTGTTTTTGCACTAACATTGCACGTTCTGCGAGCGATGTTGTGGTCACGTGCTTCCATCACACGCCTGCGCCCCGCAGCAGTTCCTTGAGAATGTCTCCTTTATGTACCACCTCACCACGGAACATTATCTGCGTTATTTCAGCGCCAATTTTAATGATCAACTCGCCTACCTACCGTATTACTTATGTATTTTTCAATCTTGCCTGTAAGTCACAAGCATACGTACGATGCCAACTAAATTTAATTTCCCTTGACTAAATAAAAGGCAATTTCCTGCCCGACCAGAATGCAGGTATCGGTGTTCCTAAGCAGACCTAACTTTAAAATGCTTAATAAATTCATATCTCCGAGCATGACTCGAGTAACTCTGTAGCAAGAATTCTCTTCGGCTTTAATTCAACTTTTTACGACCTCATCAAAATTACCTACATAATGAATTGCCAATCTAGGTTTTTTTTCGTCATTTGCTAAATTTCCTATGTTTCATTTGTTACGAAATAAATATTTGTTGGCATCACAAACCAAGTTTATATTTCTCACATTTATTCCTGAAGTACCGCTGTACAATACATGTACGCAATACAGGTAGCTATTTGTTAATATTGACGTTCACAATACCTCTTAGCTTATCATGTCGCTAGTTGAAACGAGCAATGCTATACATGATACTCGAACACTACAATCAACACTTAAAAGCCAAAATTTTTGGGTTTCTATCAATCAACTTTCTAAACTCGAGCGTTGAAACATAGAGTCAAGAGACCTGAGTTCTCATTTGCGACCAGGCATGAAAATAACTGATAATATACAATGTCATCAAGATGTCTGACTGTCAGTGGGCATACGGTCACTTGTCATCTCCGGAGCAAGTTGAGAAGCGTTCTACAATGCGTCCAATGTACAGTCAGAGATAGCAAGTGTACCAGCCTCCCAGCCCTCCAGCCCTCCCAGCCCTAACTTGTAATCTCCGGAGCAAGTTGAGAAGCGTTCTACAATGCGTCCAATGTACAGTCAGAGATAGCAAGTGTACCAGCTGGAGCAATTGTAACTTTTGGACGAGCTTAATGCGAACGAGCGAGCAGTGCTTTTCTCTGTATTGCAAATTGAACTGTGATAATGGTTCGACAAAATATAGGAACACTGCAGTTATAGCGAGTTGAGAGAAACGTTACCATTACAGTAAAAGTCCCTGGCGCATTCCTCATTCTTGAGAACGCTCGGTGGCAGAAAAACACGACATAATTGCTGCAATAGACGGCAAGGGTAAATTCTATGCTATTATTACATTAAGCTAGCTGTACAATCTTGATGAAGGCGCTTAAATCTTACCTCGCGGTCAAATTCAAGAACAGTTATTTATTTCAAGTAATAATTTAGTCAATATAATTTTATCGTAATCGAATGATACTAATCAGTCCATGCGAGCTATGCTTGCTGTAGCGTCACATACGAGGGCACCAGATACGCTATCTGCTGCAGACAAGTCGGAGTTACATTGCGAGCTCAGCAGCCCTTTAACGGCGAATGTTTTATAAAAACATTTGTGATGGTTTTTTTTTGCAGTAACTTAGAACGCAAAACTCGGAACTACGAAGAACAAGAGTGACTGCGCGTTGTGTTGCCGACTCGTGCATTGCTCAGAGTTTTTGGTCAATGAACGAGTCGGGTTCTCTTGAACTCGCCAATGGGTAGGGCTGCGTAGATAGCTTAATAACATGAATAACTGTTATTATTAAGAACCTCACACGCATGATATGAATAAACAGATATTTACAGGCAAATGTCGGTTCGAATCGTAAAAATAATATTGCAGTGAAATGCACACGGGAATTAAACGGTATTGCGTGACCACAGGCATCTCCGTGTACTCTAGGTGGTCTCAATCACAAGGAGCCCAGAACCTAGCATCCTCCCAACGATTGGCACGGCTGCTTTGGCGAACCAAACATCGGTTAAAGTTTCAAAATTATTCCATGGACTTGTATTCGATAACTGTTCTTTGTCGACAAAACCCTCAAACAAAGGAGAATAACTAATTGGCTCAGATCTCTGGCAACCAAGACGATCATACCGAAATAATGCAATCACTGGACTCAGCGTTGCCGATAACAAGAGATTAACTGCTGGCTTAACTACTACGATAACTGAAGTAGATGCAAGACGTGTTCATTAAAATAAAGAACACAGCACCAAAGAATACCACGACGTATTAATTATTATAAGTTACACGACACTCATGTCGTCAACGCCTGACTAAAATTACTTGCCAAGTTAAATAACAACTGCAGCAACTTCAGTAAAACTTAACAAAATGAAAAGAGCAAATCAAAAGAAGATAGAAACTTAGTAACAAGAGAAACATCCAACAATATTTCTTAAGTATAGTAAAGAAGCGCGCAATGTACACAACGTACGGGAAGCTAATTTAGATGGATGGCACATCTAACATCACCAAAACCTTACCGAGTTACTCGCATGCATGAAAAGAAGCCTTCTTACACCATTCAATACAACCTGTCTCTAAATAGTACACATACCGGCTGTCTCTACACAGCACACACACACATCGCCATCGATACAACCCATCTCTACACAGCACACACACCGCCATCAATACACCCTGAATTACCTTCAACTTCAAGAACCAAGTGCACGTGAACTGTCAAGGTCCAGACTGTACATTTATAGGCCATTGACAGACCCTATAAAAATCAAGCCTTCATAACATTTAGAACACACCAAAACATTTCCTGACTAAATTCATGATGCATAAATTTCAAATACATTTTTTGAAACATCTCAATTAAAAACACAAACTTGAAGCCGATGTGAGGCGTTAATTACAATAAAAAATTACAAGAGCCTTGATGCAAGACTGGAACGAAGAAGCCCATGTCAAGCGAGAGTTAAAATTAAACGTCTTCTTTGAGACCACAATTCCTGCCTCTTACACCCCAGCTCTGAAGTCTCCATGGACAGCAAATAATTTCAGGGAACGTCATCAAGCGAGACGCGCGCAAGAAAACGTGTTGACATGCAAAACGAATTTTAAACCGATTATTCGGGTTAGTCGATGAGGGCTCTTACACGAACGATGACGCGAACAGAATTACTTAAGGTCTTTGTAACAATTGAATTCTGAGTAAAAAGTAAATATTTTATGCCTATTGTTTGGGTTGGTCGACGAGGGCTCTTATACGAACGATGACGCGAACGGAATTACTGCAACAATTGAATTCTGATTAAAAAGAAAGCCACGTGAAGATCGCCGCGTGTAACTCCGAGTACACATAATAAAAACAATGGCACAAGTTTGCTACAGCATCCTGCCCTTAGGTTCACCACACTACAATAATAGGTATGCTAAGCCTCTTATTATATATAATAAGCAGAATATGTATGTATATATTTATAAACATCGTCTATTCGACAGTGCAACGCATGTTACGCGAACATCGCAGCAGGTCTTCACAGGAACAATTGGGGTCTCTTAGTTGTAGTAAAAATTAATTTAAAAGAACTTTATAAAATTACTGATTTCTGGCACGTAACAAAACCTTGATTAGACACGACTAGATGGTTCATTATTTCATACATATTAACGATCTTCAAACTGGGATTTCATTCTAATGCCCTAAAATTTGTTAAAATTTCCTTACTGTAAAATATTGCACTCGGACAAAGAATTCTATGCATTGAATAGCAACTCTGACGTCAGTGGGACCCCACATTGCTCCTGGGAAGCATTCACGTCCATCAATTTACCCTAGACACACAATCTATTCTGTTAGGAACCTTGATTCATAGCGTCGCTATCGGCAGCAGTGAGATATTGCACTGCTTCCCTCCTCAGGGTGCCTTAATTTAGGCCTACATTAAAACAGCGCTAAATTCCATAAATTAAAACGACGAAAATATATATGATGTCAGAACACACTTGCGTGGGCAGGTTTGACATTCGTTGTAGAAGGGCACTAAACTTGACAACACAAACACTCAATTATAGGTTACGTAATAGAGCATTCATCGTTCGTCGCCGTAACAAATGAAAAAAACATTGAATTTTAACAGCGTCGTAACAGTTCAACCACTTGAGATCAATCATGTTGATCACTATTGGCAATGGTGACGCGAGGATTAGGCAAAGCTATGTTCTTCAGCTTACTCAGCAAAATTCATAAGAAGAAACTTTCACGATTGAATTCAATATAACACTTGCGCACCAATCAGTAGACAATATCAGTCCACTAAAAGAAAGTCCGCTGTGGCCGTTAATGGTTGTAGTGGCGCAGGGACGGGTCATAGGGCCAGAAAGGGAGAGGATATAGAGTGTGCTGCGTCGACTGAGGACTTTGGTTCATACCGTCCAGAGGTGAATGATTCTGCATGTGAGGAGGCCACTGAGGCGTGCTGGACGGTGTCTGGGCGGGCCTGATCACGCCCATGTGGGACAAGTTGTCGCCCAGCCTGGCCATGGGGTCGGCAGGACTTGCACGGCTCATGGAGCGCAAGTTATCTATTCTCGAGTAGTCTCTGTCGTCGTAATGGCTCATCATGGCCGCAGCCGTGTCAGACATCACCGACGCCATGCCGCTGCGGCTCTGATTCTCAGCCATACGACGCAAGTGTTCAGCCAAATATCCGCCGGGTGTGCTGGTCATGCGGTTGAAGTTTTCAACTGCCATACGGCCGAGCTGGTCACTCATGTGACTGCTGCCACTGCCCGCCCCCGGCGTGTCCGAAAGCCTGCTGGGACTGTCCTCTGAAGGTCGCATGTCTGCCATGTGCTGCTGAGGGTTGGGGATCCCATTGTTCCCATTCCTGTTGTCATTCATCAAGAGCGACTGCGACGTCATCCTCGTAAGATCTTGAGGAACATGCAATTGATCCTCATTGCTTTGATGATGCATATTGTGCAGACTTGGGTTGAGGCGCAACTCTTCAGGATCAAGCTCGCGCCTCTCGACCATATGCCGCATGTGTTCGTTCATGAGCAAAGGGATATTCTCTCTCATTGGATCTTCCCTCAGGGAGCTTTCACTGCGCATAGCCAGTTCCCTAAGTGGGTTATCACGAATTAATCCATCCCGAAGATTCTCCCGTAAATTGTTGTCTCTGATTCCATCAGAGCGCATCGGATCATCGCTCATATTCTCGTCACGAATCCTGTCATCGCGGCCACCGATGCTCCTCATTGATTCGTCCTGCATTGGCCCGTTCCTGTGAGCAGAGCTTCTCATGTCTTCATCACGCATGAGATTATTCCTCATGACTTCATTCCTCGAGAAGACGTTATCTCGGACAGGGTTTTCGTTGTGACCTGATGCGTCGCGCAGACTGTTCCCGCGCATCATGTTGCCTGCCATATCTTCATCTCTCATGATAGAGTCTCTGTTGTCGCGCAGTAAGTTGTCTCTCATGATGCTGTCCCTCATGAGAGTGTCGCGGTTATCTCTCATCAAGTTTTCCCGCAATTGGGTGTTGCGCATTAGGTCGTTCATGGCGCTGTTCCTGTCAGGGTCCCTCATGGGATCGCCAGAGTGTTGAATGCTTCTGCTCGGAACTTGCGAATCATCCATAGGTTCCTCACTCTCCGATTTCATTGTCATGCTCATTGAATTATCCAAGTTGTTGCCAAGGGATCCTCCTAACATGTTCTTCACCATGTTGTTAGCCTCGCTGTAGTGCTTATTACGATCAGTAGGTGACATGTGGTTACGCATGTTGATGGGCAAGTAGCTCTCAGGAGGTAACTCTTCCATATGCTCTGTCATGTTGTGAACCTTTCTTTTGTGGATTTGGAGATCATATTCATTGCAGAAATAAGTAGAGCAAACAGAACATTCTTCGTTAAACTCCCCAGGACCAAACTGTTTCCTCAAATGATGACATAAACCAAGTCGTTGAGTGAACATCTGACCACAAGTTTCGCATGAATATTCTTTGTCCAAAGAATGTGAACGGAGATGGTGCTGCATGGCCATTTTTTGGCTGAAACACTTGCCGCACTCAGGACAAGGAAAATTGCCAGACTGATGAATAAGTTCGTGCTTCTCAAGATATTTGCGAGATGTGAAGAGCTTTCCACAGTAGCAACATGGCAAGCTATCATTGTTGTGAACTTCCATGAGATGCCTTCTTAGCTCCGTCTGCTTGAACAACGTGGCGCAAATAACACAAGGAACATCTTCTCTGTCTTCATGCCATTTTATGTGTTGCAAATACGTGTTGCGTTTGTTAAAGGTTTTGCCACACATACTGCACTGGAAATCACCGTACACAAGAAGTTCCTTTTGGTTGTGAGTGCCATGTTGCTCCGCAAGGCGAAGGTGTTTTTCCAATTTCTCTCGCCACGAGAATCCCTCACCGCATGACTCGCACAAGTATAGGTTATTCACCTTATCATAAATACGGCATTTGCCTTCTCTTTCAAGCTTACTGATGTGATAGTCAAAGTTTGGCTTATGATAGAAGTGTACTTGACAGAAATGGCAGACGTATTTTATTTTGTTTTTGTGGTTGCTGTAATACTCTCTTCTCTTCTGCATCTCTTCATGAGTGAGCATAGCACGAGGCGGCAGTGAATTCATTGAGTTCATCATGGAACCATTTGCAGAGCCAGGATTACTGAGGTCAGATCCTCCTTCGCCGTTATGCATCTTTGGTTTTTCGTCATGAGGCTCTGCTTTGACAATTGTGCCATCCTTTAAAATGCACTGAGGTTCAAAAATGTTTCCATCCTCGTCTATGGTGTCAGGTCGCTGCATGCCAGGGCCATCTGCAAAAGTAAATATACCGTATACGTTTGTAAAAAAGTAAATTAATACTCACGTTTGGTAAACATTAATTCACTTAACCTTAACCCTAAAGACTCAACTAAATTTTCGGAAAAATTAGAAATATTTCAGAAAGAAAATATTCAGAATGAATGACTCACAGCCAACAGGTGGAGGATACTTTCTAGGCCGACCGCGCTTCCCTGTCCCAACAGGAGTGAGCTTCTTCTTTCTGGAAAGCAAAAAATATGTGAAATAAGCATGTATAATAGGTAGATTTATCTGTCTACCTATTTATAAGCTACCTAATTGACTATTTTCAAAGTTTTATGTAATATTCTAATATTCATACTTGTCCCCCAAAAATTTTAGACAATAACCTCACCAGTCATTTACAAATATATTACTTATAAGCAACTAGATTATAATTAATTTCAAACTTCCACTATATAGGAGTCTATGAGCGCTTTAATTACTTGATGCCCAGGCAGGTGCAGCAGTTAGTATTATGTATGGAGGCAAAGTGACTCAGCATTGACACTTGAGAAGCAAACTTATCCTTCCACTTGCTGTACTCAGAGTTGATGAGCCCCAACATTGTATCAGAATCTGCCGTGTCTTCCAAGTCTCTGCGAGACTCCAGCCTGAAATGGTGAGTGAAATTAATGTATGTAATCTAAGTTGAAGGGATTCCTGTAATGAAATGGCATGAGTAATGTTTAATATTAGAGATTCTACAACACTCCATTCCAATATGGAGAAACAACAAAAAATATTTCTTAAGATTCTGTATTCAATTATTTCAAAATGAAACACTGTGAATATCTGAAAATTATTTACAACACTCCCAGAAAGAAAAATTTTGGAATGATTATTTTCCAGAAGTCATTTATAGAATGTTACTCACAAACTGAGGAGCAGTGTTGTCAGTTCTGCATCAGACACATTCAAATCAAGACGGGCTTTAGTCCAAGCTTCATGATTTTGTTCTCCAAGATCAACAATGAATCTACTTCTTGGTCGCCCTCTTCTTGCTGTGCCGAACGGATCAGGTATGTGTCGCAGATCATATGCGCTGCAGGGCCTGTCATCTGCACTGTTGAACCTGAAGCTTCCTCGCCCATAAGAGCTCTTGCCACGTCCCATGCCAGTGCCATTTTTGCTTCCTCTTGGCCTGCCTCTCCCTCTTCTCATCAACAGTGGATCATAACAAGTTGCAGTGTTGGGAAATTCAGAAGATGATACAGAGAGCGAGCTGTCATATGATTGGTTTAGTGAATCATTACCAGACATGGTATTAAGAGCACTGTTCATGCCATTATTAACTTGATCATTGTGTTGCTGCATTTGGTTGATTGAGTTCAGATGAGATAGAACATCGTCTCTCTTGCTGCTGAAGCTTTCACAACGATCTAGAGGTATCATAGGAAAAATGGACTTGCCAATCACATCCTGATTCTGCCTTTCATGGTGCAGGGCCTGTTGCAGCTGAGACTGATTTTGTGAATTCATCATACTATTATTGTCCATATTAACCATTGATAAATTATTGCTACCAGTTGCACTTGGGTCAAAATCATACACAGAATTTGGACGTGAATGTGTTTGGTGCATGTCAGATGATGTTGAGCAGTGACCATTATCTTGATAAGAAGAATTTTGAGAAGGTATTGGATCACAGTTCTGTGGACGCATGTTGGATAGCGTGTCACAGTAATCTCTGATAGCATTAGCAAGAGGATTGGTGGTTGGTGATGGAGAAATCATTGAGGGCATACTTCCTGGATTGGGCAACACTGGAGGGGGCAAATTTAAATGAGCTAAGGAATGGTTGTGATGATCTGACATTTCAAGGTGTTCATTGCAAGTTGAAGGATTTCCTGCTATTGCAGGAGTGTTACCTGCAAGAGAAGCTAATGTATCAGAGAACATGGAGTGAGGTGAAGAGTTTTCTGTTGGATGTGGAGCCATATCTTGAGTATATGAATGTGGATTTTGCATATTTGTTGGGGTAAAAGCATTACCCATTGAACTAGCTTGCTCATCTTGATTCAAGTTCATTTGCTGATGTGATGGCATTTTTTGAGAATGTATCAAGTCATTCTGCATCACTTGATCTGAGTGACTTTGATTTTCTTGAGGCTGACATTCTTCACTTCCCAATAATGAAAGAGAAGAATTGTCTTGTAATCCCTGCTGAGGAACACTTGAATCAACCAGCACCTTTGGTTGATCTTGATGAAGATCATGGTCATGTTGCAAATTTGAAGGATGTTGTGGAGACTCACAGTGAGATTGTGGGGTACAATGAGATTCATCATTGTTATGTTCAATTCTAGCAGTTGGTGAGTGTGCCAAATGATCACCTGGTTCTTCTGAAAACCTTGCAACTAAACTTGTGTTGGAAATTGTTTCCGCTACTGCTTGATTAGATTCTTGCAGTGGAGAAGGAACAACTTTTTCAGGCATCACTATGTCATTATTTTGTGAAACCTGTTGTTTCATCTCGTCTTCAACAGTTTCATCCACATGGTCATTGGCGTGCCGAAAGCGAAAATTATTTTCCTCTGTTGAGTTAACAAGTTCACTCTCTTTACTTGCACTGTTTCCAAGCTGCGAAAAATTTTGCCCCTCATTGGGGTCTTGAGGCGGCTCAGCAGTAGCATCACCCCCAACGGTGGTGTCAGTCATAGGCGTAATATATTCGTCACTAGGATACACTTCCATTAACACACGAGAAAAATACTTAAAGATGCCATTGATCGGTTCTCCGGCGTCTGTCAGCTGAACTGTTTGTTTACAAAATGGTTTTGTTTTCGCAGACGCATTGCACCAATGAGAGAAACGCAGTAGCTCTTGCCACCAATGGCAAGCCAGGTAGAAATCGATCAGACTGAAAGAGGAAAGAAGACAGGCTCGCGTTCACGTTGTTATCATCGAATCACTAAAAAAAGCAAAACATCAAATTACGTACTCGCATTGCCGCTGCTTGCAACTGATATGTTTATTTTCGTTTAATTATGTACAAGTATTTTTTGGGTCCAGTATTTTTGTATTTTACTGAAAAAGTTGTTTGCTGTTTGATGAGCGCTGGACTGAGTGTGGTCACGTTTGCTTCGTGCATCGCCATTCCTTTATTTTCTTCAATTTTTATTTCATTATTTGTGTAACTTCTCAGCTTTTTAAACAAATGAAAAGTATTGAATTTGAAAATTCTTTTTATATTCACAAAAATCAGACGTACTAAAGTCTTATATGTGAAATCTTATTTACGCAAAAAAATTGTCCTCGAGCGAGTAGGCAAGTTTTACAGGCATCCAGGCACAGCCTTATCTTTTTGTATTTCTTTCCGTCTTTACGAAGCTCGTGCTCACGAGACGATCTTTACTTGTGATACAAGGCATTTTGTGCCAATATTTTCAACTTCAATAAGTCGATAAGTACGGAAAATCCATATTTTTTCGTTTTTTCTTTAATTTTTTACTAACATACGTATTATGTAAGTTAAAAAATACAACGAAAATAAAGATGAAACAAATTTTGAAATTAAAACGGTTCTGTTGTTTATAATTAGTCGCAATTTTGCACGATGAGAAAAATGCTTACACTTGATGAAAAACAATACAATTAACAGGACCTAAATGGAAACAAAGCTAATTAGCAGATGACGATTACAATTTGCTTCTCAGCAGTCCATTCTCCTTTTATTTCACATGTCTCATTTCATGAAGCTGTTATGAAACTACTGGTCTTGCAAAACTTTTAATGATGTTGAACTCATTTGTAAGCGAAACTTGCAATTCTTTGATAACTTAAGTGCTCGTTTTCAGAGATTGATAGCACCACATCAGAGATAGCATATAATATATTGATGGCACTTTAAATGTCTAGCACCATATCGGACCCGGTGGAAATCTAGTAGTCATTTGAACTATTTCAAACTATCGTCAGTCCTGAAAAGTTCCGGCAAAATGACACGATTTTAGAACTTCTGTGAACAAGTCACGAAAAGTACAAGAATCGGCGACAGGTCACATTAGGCCTACTCATCAGCGCCGACATCACTATGCTATATGTTATGATGGCCAGAAGCCATGAGATAACATGAATTGGTCTTGAATAACAACGAAGCTAAGGTTGATCATCGTAAAGTCAACTTCATAAGTCCCTGCATGAAATGACTTTCTGCACTGAACGTGACCAGAGGGTTGCCCGGCTTGTCGCAGCAGGAAAGCAAATTGTATTTATCAATTTATAGCGAGCGTACATAAAAGCTCTATAATTTATCAGGAAGAAATTTAAATGAAACGAGAAGAAATACAATTAATGTTAATGTGCAAACAAGACAAGAATATTGGTCATTGCACCCACTAACCAGGAAAATATAGATGGGGAAAGGTAATTGGTATTATAACAATTAATTGGAACCGGACACGAAAAAAATGTTCACATTCAAATACATACGCAAAATCTCTTTTTGCTCTCACTCGGTAACGGCTGCAAAAGAAACTAGTTTTCGTCTAAGTAATCGCCGACGTCTCGATTGGTGCAAGTAATTGACAATCATCAAAATTGACTAGTAAATCGCTTTCCTTCATTAATTTCGTACTCGATTCAGTCCGATGTATTTTTTGCATAAGATTCCCAATTCCCAGAACTAAAGCTTAGCTTAAGAAATTTATTGCACCATAGACATTATCTGTGAAAGAAACAAAACTGAAAACAACGACTGTATTTAGCTAATATAGAAATTAAACTTTTATCAAGCAATCCAAAAAAATCTAGGATAGGGTACAAAATGTTGGAAGGTTTTCGGGGTTTAAGGAAATTTAGAACTGATGTGTTGCAAAATCCGTGAGCAGCTCGGTGCAAGAACACGCGGAGTGGCATACACCTGCCACCTCACACTATATTATAAAACCGACAGTAACTGTGGATTATCATTTGGTGGAACGACAGCTGTAACTAGAGCTCATTGGAAGCCTCGATTTCCCGGGATATCTGTTGCCAAAATGATTTTGCTTTATCTTACCCACGGAATGTAGTTAAAACTTGCTTCTATAACGAGGCAAAATTTGATCAAAATTCAAAGATTGACAGAGCACAGGATCTTAATTGCAGTTCCGCAGGCACCAGAAAGGCATTTTCTGTGTAACAAAGCAAGTCAATATTAACGAACATCCGACGATGCGCCAATAACTCAACGAGAAACTCGAGTGCCGTGAGCCCAGAAAGTAGCAAAGTGAAAAATATACAATCCAGAACAGTAGTATAAGTTAAAAATATACAGTAACACAAAATCAAAGAGCAAAATCGCCTTTTATATCTGCGTTTCCTTCATGTAATACAAGAATCATCCTTCTCTAATAATATCAATATAAACTAGTTTCCTTACTATGAATGTAGACTAGAATTTCGTTTTCAACGAAGCAACACAAATAAAAGTAATTCTGAATCTTGTCTCGGTCCACGGGATGAATTCATTGCTGATGCACAGTACATGGCATTAAGGTCTTGCATGATGCACATCTTGCCTGAACCAGGCAGTAATTCCGTTGCAGGAGATCCTGAACTATAGATTATACTGATCTCCAGTCGATGCGATTGCATTCACAGCGATATTTGCTTAGCTTTGCCAGCAGCGCATTACCAAGCAAGTACAGCATTAAATACTCAATAGCAAAGTAACGGCTCAAGAACGTATTTATGTAGGCGTTCGTCTTACGTTTCTCCAGATTCGCATTTCTCAGCGTAACTTATATACCTTCAAAAGTTCCATACAGTAAATCGAGGCGTTATGTTGAAGCAAAATGAGAGACAAGAAACCAAACAAAAAAGAACTTGTCTACCTGTCAATCGATGACCCGATGACTAACGGGATATTTTTATTAGAAAAATAGTCCCATTTAAAATAAAAGCTCAAATTAAATGAAATAACAAAGAAACTCCTTCAACACCATGTTCAGGCAAATAATTTAAAAGAGAACGAATGGTAACTGTGAACCTTTCAAGTGTATGCAAAACAAAAACAAAACATTTGCGTTCAAGTATATACGAGTTTACATAACCAAAGAAATTTCTGATATCAAGGTTATCAGCAAACGCAACTAATCGGGTTCAGATTAAATTACGATTCTATAAACTATAACTTTTGCCATTTCACAGCTGTTTCACCTGTTCGACCTCACACTTTAAACCAACATAATTTCCAAATAAACACATTAATAAGATACATATAAAACATCCATTACATTTTAAATCAAGATTTAAGGAAAGAAACATAAGGTTACCAAGCCAGAACAGGGTGATCAAGTAGATATCAATATATTATTGGAGCACGGCGGCCCATGTTATATATTTATATAATAAACAAACATCTATATATATAGTAAATATTTACACCAACAGACCTTAAACGACATAATTTAGACGACTACAACGATGCCTCGTGAATTGCATTGATTGCCTATTTTTTAGTAGACAACTAACTTGTCACACAAAAATCTACGACATACACAGGTGCAACTCCGTCTTATTTCAATTTTATGAAGTTGCATATATGTGCAAGGATCACATAATATTAGGTGCGTGGGGGGCGCGTTACAATATTTGCTGCTGGTCAGGCACGAGGGACGTGAGCAGAGCTGAGAAGAAGGTCCACGAGAGCGTCAAGAAGGACACGGCCGGCGCAGCAGGTTCAGGTCCAGTAACGACAGGTGCAGTCTCTTGCTGGTCAGGCACGAGTGACGTGAGCAGAGCTGAGAAGAAGGTCCACGAGAGCGTCAAGAAGGACACGGCCGGCGCAGCAGGTTCAGGTCCAGTAACGACAGGTGCAGTCTCAGGCAATCTGACGTCCTCGTTATGAGGAGCATTGTTTGTTCCAGCGCTGGCACCAGATGCTGCAGAGGTTGCATCATTGCTCGTTGCATTTGTGTCGTTGGAAGTGCCTGGAGCTGGAACATCAGGAGTAGTGGCAGCAGAAGATGAACTGGCATCGCCCGAAACTGGTGGATTTGGGTCAATAATTTCATTCGCAGCGGCGTTCGTGGCACGAGCAGCGGGGGCTGCAGGCGGCTGCTGCTCCTCAGCAGGAGGGGCACGCGGCTGTTGTTGCTGAGGTTGACGTTGCTGTGCCTGCTGCTGCTGCCGAGCCTCGCGGACTTGAGCCTCTTCAGCAGGTAAGCCAAGGGCGCGAAACCAACCAACTCGGTACCTGAACAACAATGAGCGTTGATTAAACCAGCATCAGTCATAATTAGAGCTTTATGACGCTAGACAATGACGAGACCAAATTAATGACGAAAATCCCTAATCATATCATATCAATAATAGGATCTTTTAGGCCATATTTCCCAATATATTGCCGATGAATGCGTGAAACAGAAGTAGTCAAGATTATAAGATTAAATTGCTCTACTCCCTTCAATCCCTTACATCGTCTCGCATTCATTTGATAAGTTATGAGAAGAATGGGCTCTCAATAATGCAGAGAAATAAGCAATACTCACAAGTACAGCAGTACGCAGAAAGCAATGATGATGAAAAAACGGTAGATTGACGAATAAATATAAACGAAGAACACTAGAATGCCAAAACGAACAAGGACGTAAAGCGAGTCCAACCAATCGTGGGCCACAGCATCTTCATCTGCGATGGGAAGCTCGTCCACTGCAATGTAGGAGCATAATATGGTTAAGTTATACTCGCGGCCAATTGCACTGATATTAACATAATAATGATTGTCAATTGCACTGAAATCAACTTGGTAGCCCCAAGAAATAAGGGCAGGTCAAATGCCTGGTATCAGACTAAAGAATGTTGAAGTTTGGTTTCAGTTGTGATTCACGAGATATATATGTTACAATTTCAATTAAATTCAAATAACAAAGAAGTAATAATCTTGCACAGCGTTGTTCTCTACAGTGGCCAAGAAGTTATCTATAGTATTTTCATTGCATTCTGTTATTTATTGATTCAATTTATAAATTTTTATTCACTATAACACATTGATCTCCTAACTTTCAAGCACAGAAGAAATTTCAATCTATAATTCTTCATGAGAAAGTTCATTAGTGTTCATTCATTCTCCGCTTGTTGGGATATGTTAGTCTTAAGATATTAGGTCTATGTATGTTTTAATGTTTCATCTGTGATGTTATCCGTAGAGTTTAGGCTTGCATTTATTTTGTGAATTTTTCCTGCAACCATTTCACTTGTACGCAATGCTCAATTTTAATTCAGAGAAGTACAACTTGCACGATCATTGGTTGTTATTTATATATGTGTTACAACTTACATTTCGTTAAAAGTCACTATGATTTCAACGATTTTTATTTGGATTATCTCAATATTATATTAGTTGTTTATATCTCTGCACATATTCAATGAAATATATGTTAATGCTACGACTGCGATCATGTTCAGTGTTAGTTCAGCTTGGTGTACTTGAATGTCATGCATTCTTCCGTCATTGATATGCTTGCATTCAATTATGTATTTAACTAAGCTTTCATGCCCTGCTGCTTTATGGTTAATGCTAAGGAACTATGGAATTAACGTCTTGGATCAATTGTACATTATTTGTGATAGCTCTCTGATCCAGTCAAATTATTCACTACCCGTCTCTGCATTCTGTTCCGTTTCCTCAGCACTTATTACTCAATAGTTATTTTACAGGCACTTTTAATATTATTTTCAAAGAGTGCCTTGCAAGTACATCCATATGAGAGCTACGTTTCTCTTCACCTCAATTGTCACCCGTAACAAACGGGTGTTGGACCTACCACATGCACTTTGTGTCGGCAGCGCTCTAACACCTCAAGGCCACAACTCTCTTCTCAGCTCTGAACCAACAAATCTTAGTAATGATAATCTTATAACCGAGACATCAAACGCTTGCAGATCTCACCAATCGCCTGAGGGGCTTGCAAAGGTTGGGCTTCAGCAGGCGGCTGCTGGTCTGGAGTGTCATTGCTGGTGGCGGCAGGAAGCTGCTGTGTGGCTAGCAGCTGTTGCCGCCAAGCTGCAAGTATGGCCGACTCGTTGCTGCCATCTGCACTGCCGACACTCTGCAGACTGTTAGTTTCAGGTTTAGTGCTTGTCTGCTAAAGGGGCTAAAGAAACAAATATATATTTTGTCTACATAAACATTGCATTCATATTATAATGACCAACTTACTACGCCATATATGATCGCATGTAGTTCTCGTAGTACTGCTTGTAGGCGTCAGCGTGAGCCCTCAGGTCGTCAGCAGGCAGGTTTGCACTGAACATATTCTGCATCCAGTCATCACCAGCCGGGCCAGCATTCAAGCGCTGGCGCACACCACCTGACCAGCCAGATACACATCTTACTTCATCATTTGCACATCTATTATATATAGCCATGAATTCTCTGTTGGAATTTAATTCAATACGTAATAAAAGTGTAATTTATCCCAGTACTGAAAGGAGATTCTAGATGTCAGTCATCAAAGTTTGGGTTCTTGTGTCACTAAATCATTGGAAAAAAAAATTTAAACATAAATTCATTCATTATTGAAGTTTCCTGTTCATTTTGGGTTAATTTTTGGCAAACTAATTCAACTTTTTCAAACGCAGACAAGAAAATGAATTAGACAAATAAATAATGTAGAATTACCAGCATTTCCGGTTGAATAAAAATTATTATTAGTATTGCTGGAGCCACTTGGTTGGCTGGCAGAAGTGTGCGGGTGAGCCACATTGGAAGTGCCTGGAGTGTTGCTGGTCATAGGCTGTCTGGACGGCGTGCACACAAGATGCAGTACAAAGCGACCATCAGTGCTGCTCGAGTGCTTCAACAAGCTTGTCAATAAGCTGTCATCGTTCATAAGATGTCCACTGTATATCAATCGTTGCTCTTTCACTGCCTGAAATACAAACATTTTTTCAACAAAATAATATAATTTGTGGCTGGCTTCATCCATGCACGTTTATAAAATTCAGGGCAGCTTTCTAAGGGCTTTCTTGGAAATTGCTATTAGATAAGATTGCTATTTTTCTCTTTTGTAGCTGAGAACTGTGATATTTTGTTCAAGAAACAGAGAATTGGAGAGAACTGAAATAAATTGAAATCCAACTAAATTTGAACATTTACATAAATAAATACATACTGAACTTGCACTGCATAAATATGAATGCTAATGCAAAAATGTCAAATTAAATTACAAAATGAAAATGATGTGTATGAAATTACCAAATTGGAAAATTGAAGCCAAATAATTACAGCCTCAAATTTTGTCACTAAGGCATGAACTGAAATCATTCAGTACATGAAATATTGAAAGAATTTCTTGCAATAGATGTAAAGAAATAATTGCTAAACCCTTTAAGATAATTTACCTACTTACCGGCTTGAGTGAATGTTCCTCACTGAGGAAATGCTTGAGGTCTTTCACAGTCCAGTCTGGCAAACAGTCCACCACCATGTCAGGGACGCTCTGACTAGCTGCTTTAACAACAATGCAGAGCCCACTAGGAACTGCTGACACCTCAGCTGCTCGTGCTGTGGCTTCAGGAGAGAGAGCATTCTTGCTTGGTTCTCCAGTCACCTTATCAACTGGGGTTGTAGCATCTGACATGCTTAGTTCTCAATTTAGATTTATGTCTTCCATAATACAACTACTGATTTTAGTTACCAAATATGCAATTTAAGGAGTTTCCGAGTTAGATACTGCAAAGAAAAAAAGATCCATAAATAGAAATTCCTAAATAAGCTTGTATTTAAAATGTTGAGGAGCAAATGTAGATATACAAAATTTATATTTTGAATTGTATACAAAACCAATGACAAATACTAATTCAGAACCTTTTCAGAATATTATTGCTATATAATATATCTTGCCTGTGAGAAATTTTTTAACACGTGACTCCGAAGTGGTACATATGCATACCACAAAATGTATTTCTCCAGGACGTAGTGGTACCGTCAAATGGGGTAATAACTAATAAGGGACAGTTATGAGCGTTTTTCATTAATAACTTCTTACCATAAAACATTTCATAAACAAGTTTCGCGCACATTTTGAAGGTTTTTGCAAGGGCTATTGTATGGCATCTCCAAAAAATTCCATATGCTATTCGTAAGGTGCCAGATGCAAAATAATGGCCTCCAATTAACAACTGGAATTGGGTAATAAGAGACACTTTAAATAAAATAAAATTTTTAAACATTTGAAGTATGCAGAGTGTGCTCATCCATTACTAACAGTACTCTGAATTTTCCTCCTTTTCCTTTATAGATGATGTAGATGTAGAATAAATGACATTTTCTGTGATTTTTACTCATTTTTTTATTGATATGATATTACCTTATCCATTCAATACCGTGTAATTGATATGATATTACCATATCCAAGACCTGCCATTGTGCATTTAAAACGACCTTATACACTGCAAGCTTCATATCAGCAGCCATGTATCACTTCTTCTGTATCTGTAAGCTTACAGGATGGCTTGTAATTTCACACCATTTTAATAGAGTCAAGTGAATTCATTCACTGTAACAAAAAAAAAAAAAAGATCATAAGAATCATACCTGAAGGCTGAATCAGAAAGGAATATTTTAGTGACAACCATAATATTTTTTGGAGAAATAAATAATACTTATGGTTATTACTTTTCATTCTATGTTGCATGGTGCATAATTCTATCTATGACATTCTATGCACAATTTTGTGATAACCAATGATGCACTAATATTTTGTTAAGTGAAATTTTTTTTTGCTGAGCAAGTTAAATGTAATCAAAATCTTTTGTAATTAATTGATTTTTTTGTTAACTGGAGCCTTTGAAAACCAAGGTTTTACAGAAAATGCATTTTTAGGGGTGTCCCTTATTGCCCCGTCATGCAAAAATGGCTGCCATTTCTTTTTGGAATGAGCTACACAAATTCCGTCAATCACGTTTTTAAGCCAACACCAGTGTGCAACTTTTTATGCAAGTAAAATTTTTTAATATGGCAAATATTTTTTTTGCTAGACCTTAGCAGAGGTATATACTTTTCCAAAATCTCACTTTTAAAACATTTTTTCAAGGAATTTTTAGAGGTAGTATATGTATAATTTTTGTAACTTGCTTTATGCTACATAGATAGGAAAAATGTTGAACTTTGGAGGACTGTCCCTTATTACCCTGCCCATCCCTTATTACCCTGTTTGACGGCACATAATTCAGGTTGCCTAAAATCCAGGGTTGGTGATTTTTTCATTTAAAAAAATATAGAAAAAATAAAAAAATCAATTATTTTTTTTATTTTTTTCATGATTTTTTCAGCTTTTTTGTCTTTTTGAAATGTCATTTTTTATATTGCAATTAGCCTACTACTAGCAATAACAGTATATGGATGGCTAAGTAGGGCAGTTTTTGCCTTCAAGAATGGCCAAGGTGGTGTTTATTCAGTATCATCAAAGCTTCCAAATTTACAGTCATCAATCATTATGTTTTACAATTGGTTAGAAGAACTTAAGAAGTGTGGTATTAAAATTCAGAAGTTCAAAACTGAAGCATCTTCCAAGTCTTAGCCGGTAGCCCCCACCCCATAGTGACAAACCACAGATTTTTTAGAATCAGTTCATTTTTAATTTCCTCATTTACTCATGATTTAAACCAATTTCTTATGTATGATAATGCTGGTATCCAGGATACTTTACTGGTCTACATATAGGACTAAAAAATGAACTTGAGGGAGAGTCTAAAAAACTCTCTGCTTTGCCACTATACCCCACCCTCCAGGCTCCAGCTCCTAGCCTCCTAGGCTCTTTGAAGACGCCAGCCGCGTCCCGCGACGACAGACCCAGCCGCAGCCTGATCTGATGTCACTTGTGTTGTGGGCTTGTGGCACTATCTGTGGCTGACTGGTCTACCTATATGCAACTAGGTATTGCAACATAATGTACTGATCTTCTGCAGTCTATTATTTCCCTTCGTATAATAATGGGCGAGTTGACTGCAATATAAAAACTGAGACTTCTGAGATGTTTTGTTCGTCTTCGACAGGAACAATTTCTCAAATGAGCTGAGATTGGGTAGGACTGTACGACAGTCATAAACTCATAGCTAAGTCCAATCACAGTCTCAAGACGTAATTACAGTTATCATATATCAAATTTTTCTGCTACAGGCCTTTGAAGTTCAAAAAATACTGTTACCCATGACGATCTCTAACATGGCGAAACTACAATTTTTAAGGAAGTCTAAGAATTTTCCTTGATAGGTTGAGTTTGTGATTTTCTTGCTTGCTATTGGCTCACGGCAAATGCCTTTGTGACTTGTGATTGGTTACAGATTTTGTAAAAAATTGTTGTAGAAAACCTTCAACAGTATATGCATCAAAGTCGCTGACCACTATTTGAAAATTTATTGTATTTTCACACATAAACTAATTATAACTTTTGGTGAGATATAAGACAAAGTTCTGTCTTTGAGATGAATCATCTTCGCATATTGGTGTGATGATTCATCTCAAAGACAGAACTTTGTCTATGAGAATCATCTTCGCATATTGGACTGTGACTAATGATATTTAGCAAAAAGTTTCATTTATAATTATGCTTTTCGTCGGTCAGTTTAAAGATAAAGGGAATAACCGCCAAAACATAGATGTATAAAAAATTAGGTTGAGATTATATATGATCTTGGAGACGGTGCATACCTTATATATAGGATCATTAGGATGCACTGCCCATTTTCGCACTTTAATTTATTTTCTTTTACCTGAATTAGCACGTGCTAGGACCTCTGGGGTAAGTGCATAAGACCATAACGCCGGATGTCCCATGTCCGTAAGTCAACAATTCGTTTGAGAGGGAATAATTTGTTGCAAAACTAGATGTATGGATTTGGTATTTTTTGTCAGTTGCCTCATTTTCCATGCAGCGACATAGCCAAGATGCCGTCATGTCTTCTTCACCTCAGTAATAGAGAAAAGTTTTACGGGATACTACTTTGTCCTCCGCCTACCTCCTCTTCTACACGGCCTTACTGCCAACTTGTGTTTCATTACGTCTCTTTTGATTTGAAACATATTGGGTAATTTTAAGATATTGTCCTCTGAACGTAATCGTTAATCTCACGATTCCAGGTATCGTAATCATATTTCAAGCGCGATGGCACTATAATCGTAATCAAAGCCCAATTCAGCGTTGGCATCATAATCGTAATTGAAGCCCAACCCAGTGTTGGCGAATGCAAGCATAAGTAAGGAATAATATAAGCAAGGAAAAATAATAGGTATTTGTGGTCTAACTCTCCCTAAAGCTGAATTGGTTAAATTTAGTTATCATCAAAGTTCGCTTCTCTCCTTCTTGCCTGCCAAAATCACCTTGCGTAAGTAACCAATGAAATACTGCGCTATTAACCATGCTGGCATAAACCATCATGTCATTCCAGCTGTAATCATGTGCCATTGAGTAGCCAATTAATAACGCTCAGCTACAAGCCTACAAAGTTATTAATTAAGCCTGAACAATGAGAGTCTTTGTCTTTCTCGACCTATTAAATAATATTAAATCTTATTTCCACCTTCAGTCACTAACGATAGCAAATAAAAACTGCAATAACAAACCGTCGTTTTTTTGTCCACCAAGCCACATCCGTGTCAAGTATTGTCCTAACGGATTTACGACCCCAGCATGGCCCTACATCCACTCCACATTTACCTCACCTTGTCTCTCCATCTTACTGCAGCCAATGAAGTTAAGTTGGATCCAATTAGGTTCGGTTGGCCAGGGTCAGGGTACGTGTGGGGGCGCATGCCGGAGGCCAGCTTTGCCATACTTCACACTTCGTTTAAATTCCTTTCCATAGGTAAGAACGCTAGAGTGCATAACGGCCTTTGAAGTCAAGTGCTCAAAGCCATAGCGCCTGATGTCCACAGCTACAAATAAGCTTGCCAAAGGTGAACATGGCCATACTGCATCTGGCCAAACCTTCTCTGGCCTAACCTCTTCAGGCCCAACCTATACGAGCTGCAACCTTTCTCCACCCAAAACAAACCTGAGCGGACCTAACCTAACCTCATTGGCTGCAAGAAGTTAGATAGGCGGTCCAAGTGTGCGAGTAGAGCCAGTCATTGGCTGCAAGAAGGATGTGAGTCGGGACAACGTGAATAGGTTAGGCCAGAAGAGGTACAGCCGGATGGGGAACTGCCTGCTTATGAGCGAGCATGCTTAAGCATTGGCTGAAGACCTACGGTGCTATTATCTTTCGGCAGTGTGTCGCTTGTCTGGATTACGGAGTTCAAGCTTAGTCTGCGGCTTGTAGTTCTGAGGCTGAGTAAAGTTAATGCATGGTGAAGCTAGGCGTTGGCTCCAGGGCTTATATATGAGTAAAATTTGTGGCCTACGGCTGCGCCCCCAGGACGCGCTATTTACCATGATCACACTTGGACCGGTAACCAATCCAGCAGTATCAGCCCTATGACCTGATAGGCTTGGTTCACAACTTCACACCACTCCATACGCCAGGTGCATTCAGGTGTTCAGTCCAGTCAGTTTCTTTCGTTTCACGTGTCATGCAAGTCATGGAGCATTGCTATCTGGTATATATCTGGCATATTGAGCTGGCAATCTGGTATCCTCGGCAAAGTAATAGTTGGCAATTCTTCAGTCACGCCCCGGTCAAAATATCTTTTGCCGTTATTGTGGCTGCCCGTGCCTGGCATGACAGGTGCCTT